TGTCATCAGGAAAAAAATAAAATAGTATTTACAATCTAAAAACCAAGCAAACAAACCAAAGGCAGAGGCAATCAGGTCCTCTAATGTTTGACTTACAGAGAACCCAGAGACCTAACCAAAAGTCAATTACCCAAATGGCCATTGACCATAAAAACTAGATTTAATTTATGTGACCAATACCATCATCATCAGTAACTGCCTCTCCCCCCTCCAGTGATACATCACTAAACCTAGTCACGGGGAACACTGGAAAGGAAGGTACTCATACCTGAACATAAAGTAGCAGTAATGTTGGCTTTCTTGCCCTTTCTGGGTCACAAATCCTGTCCTACATCCAAGATGATATTGATCCACCTTTAAAAGTGTCAATGCTCTGAACAATTTTTTTTTCTATCATACTATTCCATATACCCTTTCTCACCTGGTAGGACCAAGGTTTTAAGATCAGTGGCATGCCCTCTGAATTAAGGCTGTTCAGGGTGATGGATCTGGCTGTAGTACAAACAGAAGGTAGTGGCTATAAATGGAGACTGTACCTCTAACTCAGATGTGACAAAATACTTGAATTAAAGAGCTTGGGTTGAGAGTCAGAAAAGCAAAGAGTGAGGAACCCATTACTAATAAAACCCATTACTAATAAAAAGCATTTTTGAAGTAAAAATCTTTTGAAGTACTAAAATATCATAATCAATAGTTAATAAATATTTATTAAGTGCCTACTATGTGCTAGGCACTGTGCTAATTAATCATTATAATCATCTTCTCTGGAATATCCTTCTTCCCAACTCCAGCTGTTGAAATCCTTTAGGGTCCAGATCAAATTTTGTCTCCATAAGTCTTTTATTGCCACACTTGGAAAGGAAGGCATTGTACCTTGTTCATACCTTGCTTATACACTTAGATTGTATTTTCTATCATAGTTATCCATGGGCATACTTCATGTAGCTAGCATTAGGTAGCATAGTGGAGAGAGTGCTAGACTTTTTTGGTCAGGAAGACCTGAGTACAAATATTGCCTCTCATACTGATTAATTGTGTGGATTTAGGCAAGTCACTAGACCTGAGTCCTAGTTTACATTTCCGTAAATAAGGGAGTTGGATGTGCCACTTCTGAGGTCTCCTCTAGCTCTAAATCGATGATTCTTTTTTTTTTTTTTTTTTAGGATGGGCAATGGGGTTAAGTGACTTTCACAGGGTCACACAGCTAGTAAGTGTTATGTGTCTGAGGCCGGATTTGAACTCAGGTCCTCCTGAATCCAGGGCCGGTGTTCTATCCACTGCGCCACCTAAATCGATGATTCTGAATCACTCATTACACTATGAACTCTTTGGGACAAGGACTGAGTCCTATTCATATTTGTATGAGTTCCACCTAACACGATGCAGTGAACGCAGTATGGCTTAAATGTGAATCTGGAATTCTTATTACTGTTGTCATTATTGTTTTTATCATTATCACTATTCAGTAGATTCTTAGAGTTACAGACTCAAACCTAGAAGGGATGCTGGAGGGCATCCAGTCCAGCTCCTCCATTTAATGGATGAAACTCAGAGATTACATAGTCTGTCCATTGTCACATGGCTATTCCATAGTAGAGCTTGGATCTGAACCCAGGTCTTCTGACTCCGAACCCAGCGCTCTTTCCACCCTGATCAGTAGACATAGAAAAAGAAGATGAGGGCACTATTTCAAGATTCGTGCTGCTACCAACTCACTGGTCTTCCTCAATTCTGTGCAGCAATCTGTTGTTCTTGTTGTTTCTTCCATATCCTTTCCTTTGAACACCCCTGCAAAGTCTGCAAAATGCCCTTCTCAATTTCCCTCCAGATATACAAGTTGGCACAAAGGCGAGAGCAGGGCTAAGCTTGGAGCTTCTGAAAATAAAGATGCTGTGGGGAAATGGGAAGATTAGAGAAGGAAATGGCAAACCACTCCAGTATCTTTGCCAAGAAAACCCCAGATGGGGTCATGAGGAGTGGGACGTGACTGAAAGACAAATGAACAACAAAGGGAGTTGGGGCCTGAGGAACAAAACCCTGGTCATCACCTAGGAGAAGTTTGGAGTGAAATGTGTTATCCTACGTACTTTGGGGGAAGAGGGTGGAGGAGGGAGTTCTAAGTCTGAAATTTCATCAATACAAGAAATGCCTAGTATAGACTCCCTGTCTACCCATGCAGATGACTAACTCAAGAGGAATTTAGAATTTTAGAGAGTTGTCTGAAGCACTTTGAGGTTAAGCAAGATTGGATGGCTTCTCCCATATAAGAAGACTGCTTAGGCCAGCTATGCATTGATTTTTCCTCAGGCTGCACTCCAGACTTCTTTACCCTGTCCATGCCTTGTGCAGAGTACCTTCAAGATTCTCCCCACCCACTTGTCAGTTTCCTTTAATGTGTTGCCTTCCCCCACTAGAACATAAACTCCTTGAGGGCAGGAGCTATCCTTTTGCTTGTGTCTGCATTCCCAGCCCTTGGCACAGTGCCTGGCACACAATAAGCACTTAATAAATATTTCTTGCCTGACTGACTCAGTTTATGTCAGAGGCAGGACTTGAACCTAGCTCGTCCTGCATCCAAGCTTGGTCGTCTATCCATGAAGTCATGCTGCCCTTCATGCTAGATACTGTGGTTCTAAATAGTACATCATTGAAATTGCATTTGGATCATTGCAACCTTCAGTACATCATTTGAGTCTGCACCCCATGGTTAAGTGTATCACCAGGATAGCTTCTTAGTATAATGGAAATGGGAACATGCAGCTAGGTGACAGCTTGAGACCCTCCTTCAAACCTAGCCGTGCCTTGGAAGGGTTAAGTGTAGCACGTTTGGGAAAGGAAAAACTGACCCAATCAGAAGGAGACACTCCCAAAGTTCATTGCTGCCTGACACTGAAGAGCTGCAATCTGGAGTATGGGGGTGTCAGCACCTCTCAGACACTGAAAAGTGTCCCTTGTTCATAAGACCACAAGCCATGAGTAATCCCAGATTATTGCCCAGTACCATGGTTGTGACTGTGCTTAGCCTCAGGAGCACCTCAGTGGACACACAGGATAATTGACCAATTTGCTGCCATAAATCTAGAGTGTATTCCTGTTTCAGCCTTGACTCACTGTTGTGCTGGAGCAAAATAAAGATGATGCTTGTATGCCTGTTTACCTCGTTTCAGAAATTCAAGAGTCATCCCTTTAAGTAATAAGATTGTTTTACTTCAAACATTGGAGGTGGACATATTTTCAAAGTATCACACAATTACTTTCCTTCTTTAACCAAAGAATGAAAACAAAATTTCACCTTGTCTTGATGACTCTAGGTCATCATCATGAATATCCATTCTTGCTTGTACTGTATAATAAAGGCCTGCCTTCTGATAAGTTGGGCCCTTGGGCTCTGCATCTAATGGGTCTAGATGCTTGGCTCCGAGATCTTACACTTGCTTTTCATAGTCTTTCTGTCTCCTCCTTCACAGTTTGTCCACTAATACTTCCCCCTACTACCATTCGTGAGACCACCTGTAGCATGCCCTTTCCCTGCTTTTAGCTTGCTGCTTCTAATCTGCTGTGGGCTGGGAACACAGATAACTATGCTTATTAGAACTGTACATGAAAAAGAACCAGTACACGGGCTCTGTGGCATCTGTTTTATCTGCTAAGAAGGAGATAAACTTTTTACTACCTTTCTAGTCCTGGACTGGATTCCAGATACGTGTAGGAGGAAGAGAGGAAAGGGGGCTGAAGGTTAATTTACATTGGTCTAGGTAAAATGTTATTGCAATAACAATCTCTTACATGTGAGGAATTAATACTTTTCAGAGTGCTTTCATTATCACATTCCAACCTCACAATAATGCTGTGGGGGACTATTATGAGCACTGGACATGTGAAGACACTGGGGTTCAGTGAAATTAGAGATAAGTCATCTGAGGAAGTACTTTCAGGTGATTCAAAGACTCAACGACTAGCCGGGCTCAAAGGATCCTTTTGTAATCACCTAGTCAGTTTCAGATGGGGAAATTGCCAATGGGCTGCAGCTTTTCCCACTGGCAGTTGGGGTAGGCTGGAGACCACAGAATAGGACAGAGAAGCCAAAACCTCCCCTCTTTTGTTAGGTCCATTGTCAGCTGGTTCTTGGGCAGTGTGGGTGAGGACCATCCATTCTCTCTGCTGCTGTTGTAATCACACTTTATCTCTGACAAGAAGGAAAGAAGGAATTTGAAGAGTCAAGAAGGAAAGGAATCCTATGTTTTCATAGCACCTTTAAGACCCAAGCACTGAATTACCTTCAGATATTTCACCATGCACATAGAGAATTGCATATTGGCCCATAGACCAGAATAGCTTTATATTCAAGGAACTGAAAAGCCACACAACTCTAGCTTATCATGATTGACTCACACGCCTGATGGTAGCAGAGTTCACAAATCTAATTCCCTGATACAAACCCGGTCATTTCTACCCATTTTATATAGGCAACAGGAGGCGCCTCCTGCCTGTACCACCAATCCCTGCCAGCCACTTCAATAGGACAATATTATGTTTGGGGGTGAGCGTTTTATCTAGGAGCGGAGATGGAATGAGATACCGAGGCTTGCAAATGGTGAATAAATGACCAGGGCTGAGAGAGCGGGGAAAATGAGGGTGATTATGCAGGCACCATACTCTATGAATATATTAGCTCCCCAATAATCCTGTGCATTCCAGCTGCCTCCAAAGCAATTTCCCTTTGTTTAAATGAGTCCAGGTGTCGGGAGGATCTTTCCTTGCTCAGTTTCGTGCAGGCTGCTGTTACTGCATCCCTCTATTAAGAATGGGCAATTAGATTATGCCATCTATTGGCATGAGCTGCCCACAAACACCTCCTGCACCTGCTAGGCTCCAGCAATCCTGGGTGAGATTTTGATGGTCCTTCACATTCAGTCTTTCTGCCCACAGGACAGTTCTGCTCCATTTCTCCATTTTCCCATGTTCTCTCTTAAGTCCTTACTCCCTAGAAACCAACTCACCCTGATCCCCAGCTCCACATTTTCTCCTCCATAGACCTCCATTCCTTCATCCAATAAGCCGATCTCCTGGAAATATTGCCTGTCCACAATAAAGCAGCCAATGAGGGCTGGGCTCCTGTAGGCAGGATAGAGATGGAAACAGTTATCAGAGGTTGCCCTTCATGGATTCCTGTGGATCAGAGAGTTGCAAGGGCCCCCTGGAGGTATGGTCATCTGCTGTGATGGCTTCCACCTGCCAAGCCCCAGATAATCTACTGGGCAGCCCACTCCTGCCAAGCCCTCTTTCATCAACATAAACAAGGTGTCTTGATACCAAGGAAGAGGGCAGACAGTACCTGCCTAGGGATCTCTGGCTATGCCATTGTACCAACCTGCCAGCTTCCTCTAGGGCCTGCAGTAATGTTCCATGGTTCCTAATGTGAGCCACATGTCTTTCCTATTTCATTGGCTGACCAGAATTCTTAACTTCCAGCCCATCCTTGTACACTTGGGGTCTTTTTATACCCATGCCTTCTGCCAGGCTTGGGCTTCTGAGTTTCAACCCTATCTCCCTAATTAGACTCCCAATTTCATCAATGGCCCTCAGTTTTCCCTAGTACTAAGAAATATATAATCAACATCTTGGAGTTGGAAGAGCCTTCAGAAGCTCTCGAAGTAGTTTAGTATAGTGGAAAGACCATTAGATCTGAAGGCAAGCAGCATGTATTCAAATCTGCCTCTGACACTTAGCAGTTTTGTAACCATAAGAAAATAATTTCACCTCTGTGCCTAAATTTCATTATCTATATACATGGATAATAATTTTTCCACTATTATAATGAAAATAATTTGTAAATCTTAAAGAATAATATAATAATAATAATAATAATAATAGCATTTATTTGGCAGCTTACGGTTTACAAAGCACTTTGAGTATTATCTCGATCCTTACCACAACCCTGAGGCAAATACTTTTATTATCCTCATTTTATGAATGAGGAAAGTGAGGTTGAAAGAAGTTATGCCCATAGTCACACAGAGTCCTCCTGAGGGAACATTTGAATTCAGATCTTCCTGACTCCAAGGCTAGTGCTCTAGACTAGAAATCCCCTCTACAATGTAGGGCTTGAAAATTCACTGGCCATTGACCTTGGCTTTGCCCTCAAAATTAAAAGTAACAGCTCTACTAATGCTCCAGATATGACCCAGCTTCTATGGCTTTCCAGCTGTTACTTTGGGCCCCATTGTACACTATGTCTTAGTCCTCCCAGACTGCCCTACTCTAGAATCACTCCCAATCTGATGCTGACAATACAAAATCAGGCCAAATTCTGCTTTGATGTGAAGAATGTAAACATCATTTCTGCTTAGGTTTAGGTTATGTTTCTAGATTGTATTTGCACAGGAATGTACCATTTCCATTCGGGGCAGGGTTACTAGGTTGGCAGATCAGGACATGCCATAGGCATGATACATCTTTATTTCAGAAAAGCTTTTGACAAACTCTCCCATGATAGTCTGGTGGATTGAGTGGCAGTATAGCGAGATAGGATAAGAACTGGTTGAACATCACAATTTTCATTAGTAGCAAGGTAGCATGGTAAAATTATAAAGATCTGGGTCCTAGTCCTCTCTATTACTAACTCACATCCTTGGGCAAATAACCTCTCCTCTTTGGACATCAGTTTCCTCTGCTATAAAATGAACAAGATAGATTTAATTATCTCTTAAGTCCCTTCTAGCCCTAACATTCTATGATCTTAATCCTGAATCATGTCTCCCTCTTCAACCTGGAGGCTGTCTTTAGTCAAGTGCTATTTGGCTCTGTCCTTGGTACTGATCGTTCAACATTTTAAAGAGTTACTTGGGTGAAGACATAGATGACATACTTAACAAATTCATAACTGACACAAAATTGGGAGGGAGAGCTCATACCACAGATGAAACTATGAAGATTCAAAATCATTTTGACAGGCTGGAACATTGAAATGAAGGCAAAAAGATGAATCTTAGTAAGAGTGAATGTCATCCTGCATTTTTCACCCTCCTCCATCACACACACAAACACACACACACACACACACATCAAACAAATGACAAGCTGTGTATGTAACTTAGTAAGCAAAGGAACTGAAAATGTATCCTAAAAGCAGTTCTTATAAAAGATCTGGGGGGTTTATCTGATCACAAGTTTAATATGAACCAACAGTGCCAATATGGTCACTTTAAAAGTTAACACAATCTAAGACTGAACTAAGAGAAATAGAGTAATTAAATCATGGAAAATAACAGTCCTCCATCACAATCCTATACAACAACTACTGTTCAGTATCTTCAAATATCTGAGGGACTAGTATGTTTAGAAGAGAAATGACACTTGTTCTGTTTAGGAGCAGAATCACAGTCAACGGTTGGAAACTAGGAAACAAATTTTGGTCCACTATAAGAAAGAACTTTTTAATGCAATTCAATAAACATTTATTAAGCATCTTTTACATATAAGCACAGTGCTAGATAATGAAGATACGGAGATGAAAACTGGAATAACTTGCTTGATTCATTAGATTGTAAATCCTTTGAAGGTAGGAACTGATTTTTCTTTTATTGGTAAACTGAGCACTTTGCATAGCATCTGACACATAGTAAGCATTTAAAAAAAGGTTGATGACTGATTGTCTGAACTGCTCAGTTTGGAGGAATGGTGGCCATTGATCAGCTACCTCAGTAGACTCTTGTCTGAGATCATATCTCTGCCTCTTTCATAAAGGAAGAATTATTAGAGGGAAGAACAATATCCTCTCATCTACTTTGAGAAGGTTACTTGTTGGGTTTAAAGGTCTTGTTGGGTAATAGGCTTCATACACAGAGGGAGTAGTCAGAATAAATGAGAGAGTAAATAGTTGCATCAAAGTATTTTATCACATTCTCCCACTTAATCATGTTGATAATTGTGATAAGCCAGCAATAATCATAGAAGAAGTGTACCCCTGGGAAAAGAATCATTAATGATCCCCTCCTTTGAGGTAAGAGAGCCCCAAGAGGATATGACAGCAAAACAAAATCATGTCCCTCCCCAAAGCATATTGCAGAACTGGTACTTGCTCTGCTGTCTTTTAGTAATTCCCTACAAACACACAATAAAGAAAAATGTCCTCTTTGTCATTGTGCTCATATAGGGAACCCTGGACACAATGGGGTGTTAATTAAAGAGGGCAGGGTGTTAGTATAGGGCTGGTAGAAACACCCAGTGTTTCTCTGTAGTAGGATGATCCAGCTGGGAAGAAATGAAGACTTCTGCCTTTGAGATATCATAAGCTTGCTAAAATGGTTCCAAGTCATACTACTGAATAATGCTATGTGTTTCTGACTCTTGCCTGGTGTTTTATAAATCTATGAATAGGGGATTTGATGGGAGAAGTGGGAAAAGAGGAGCAGAAAGTATTAGTCAGTCACATACCAATGTTCCTGAAATTCAATAAGGAGATGGTATTATTGGGCATCCCCTGGCCCAGGGGACATGCTGCTGGAAGATTTCTCAGGAAAAAGGTGGCAGTGTTGATTTTTGAAATGGCTTAACAAATTATGGCACATGAATGTGAGGGAATATTACTGTGCCATAAAATGACAAATACGAACAATTCAAAAAAGCTCAGAAAGTCTTGAATTAACCGATGCAGAACTAAGCAAGCAGAAGAAGTAGGGGAGGAATGTTCATGAGGACCGCAACGACGTGGAGGAAAACAACAATGCAAGTCTTTGGAACACTGATAATTTCAGAGACCTGTTTAGCAATGCTTGATCTCTTTTGTCTAATGAGAGGTCTTGAACTATACATGCAGAATGAGGTGTAGATTATTAGATATGGACAATAGGCCAATTTATTTTGCTTAACCATACCTCTTTGTTGTTGTTTTAGGCAGCTAGGTGGTGCCATAGTGCACAGAGCACCAGGCCTGAAGTCAGGAAGAATCATCTTCCTGAATTCAAATCTGACCTCAGACACTTACTAGCTATGTGACCCTGGGCAAGTCACTTAACCCTGTTTGTCTCAGTTCCTCATCCGTAAAATGAGCTGGAGAAGAACATGGCAGACCACTCCAGTATCTTTGCCACAAAAACCCCAAATGGGGTCATGAAGAGACAGACACTACTAAAAAACGACTAAACTACTGAATCTCTGTTATAAGGGATGGATAAATTGAATAAGGGGGAGTAACAGGGAAGTGGCAATGATATTTTAAGAAGCATTAATAAGCATCTTTTTTGCCAGCTTCCAAGGTTTATATCAGCTGTGAGAATTGATTATATCTGAGTGAAAGGCTCTCCTCTATCTTGGATCTTGTCTACTTAGAGTGAACTGATGATCACGGCGGTCTTGCTTGGCTGGCATTACTTCCATCTTAACTCTAGCTGCTGCCACTCTTTGAGGAAATGAATTGCCTTACTTAACCCAATCCCATTCAGTTATATTCCACAAGCATTTATGAAGCACCTACTATGTACCACATAGTATGCCAGACACTGGAAATGCAAAGACAAAAAGAAACCATTCCTACTGTCAAGGAACTTCCATTCTACTTTGGCATTACAACATGTACACAGCTAAGTACATTTTAGGTAATATGAGAGTTAGAGACTTGATCTAGAGTTTCATTGTTATAGGATTAAGAAATTCCTTCTACTAAGACAGGTTGGCACCATCTTTGCAACTCGGAACCTTAGAGAGTTGCCCAGAGCACTAAGAAGTTAATAATAACTAATAATAACAAGGACTTATATAACATCTAAAGGTTTGCACTGGGCTTTCCAAATATTGTCCCATTTTTTCCACACAACCACCCTGACAGATAGGTACTACTGTTATCTCTATTTTGTAGATAAGGAAATTGAGGTTAAATGACTTGTTTAAAGTCACACTGCTAGTAAGTGTCTGAGGACAATTTGGGATCCAGGTCTTCCAGATTCCTGGCCCAATGCAACATATTGTTCCATCAAGCTGCCTAAGTGACTTTGTCAGGGCTACATAGCCAGGATGTGCCAGAAGTGAAAACTGAATCAGAGCCTTTTGGCTTATTTTGTGTTTACTGTGTATATATTTTATATTTACTTATCTATGCATATTTTATATCCTTTCAGTAGAATGTATGCTCCTTCAGGGAAGGAACTATTGCATTTGTGCCTTTATATCTCCAGCAGCTCATATAGTGTCATAAAATGTGTGTATGTGTGTGTGTGTGTGTGTGTGTGTGTGTGTGTGTGAGAGAGAGGGGGGGGGAGAGAGAGAAAGAGAGAGAGAGAGAACATATACCACAGCTGAACAAATAGTGAGCCTGGAATTAGAAAGACCTGAGTTTGAATTCCATCCCGAACACTTAGTAGCTGTGTAACCCTGGCCAAGTCACTTAACATCTCTGAGCCTCAGTTTCCCCATGTGTAAAATGGGGATAATAATAGTAGAGGCACTTACTTTACAAGGTGGTTGTGATATTCAGATGACAAAATATATGTGAAATCCTTTGAAGACCTTAAAGCACTATATAAATGTCAGTTATTATCACTGCACATGTTAGATGTTTCTTAGTGTCTGACACTTTGTGATCCCTTTTGGGATTTTCTTGGCAAGAATACTGGAGTGGTTTGCCATTTCCTTCTCCAGTTTTACAGATGAGGAAACTGAGGCAAACAGGATTAAGTGACTTGCCCAGGGTCACACAGCTAGTGAGTGTCCGAGGCTGGAATTGAACTCAGGTCTTCCTGACTCCAGTCCTAGTGCTCTATCTGCTGCCCATTATTGCATATAGTAGGTATTTAAGAAATGTTTGGTGAATCAAATTGAATAATAATGTAGAATTTTATGTTACAAAGAACTTCATGTACTTTAAATTATTTGCTTCTCACACCAATGCTGGGTGGGGCAGAGGTAGAATAAGCATTGTTATCCTCATTTTCTAGATGAAAAAATTGAGGATCCCAAAGGAGAACTGACTTGCCCAAAGCCACACATGAAGTATTAGTGACAAGGAGTCCAGGACCTTTTCCATTATGCCTCTTAGGAATTGCTCATTATAACCTTTTCAAAAAATATGCTGTTAAGCTATCAGACCACAACTTAGCATGGTGATGATAACATGACTCCCTATTAACAAAGAACATAGTAACTTTCTCGTAGGGCTTCATTTTTTTTTATGGATTTTGACTCATAAGAAGCTAAGTCTACCCAATCCAATATTGTATTTTCCAGTTGATAACACAAAAGATAGCAACGGCAGAGATGATCTGGGCCTTGAAAGGCAGTTGGAAGCCCCATTTTCTGTTGATGAAATTTCAGTTGCTTTACTCTGGGGAAAGGTACCAGGTCCTGGCCCAACTGAGAGGAATTGATGGTGAGAGCTGGTGGTGGGAGGGGATAGGTTTGGGCTAGAGGCCAAATGCCCTCCAGGGGTGGATGGAAACAGATAACCTGCCTGTACATCAGAAGGGTGAGAGTGCATCAGCATGGGCACATACCTTATTGGAGCAGTTGAATTCTCCAACTTCCACCAGGACTTGGGAGGATTTAAATAGCGACACCACAGCTCCCAGTCAAAGCCTTGCGCAGCCAGGGGATACTCTTCAATCTCAAAATTATCATATTTGATATTGTCGAAAGATGGAGAAATGATCCGCTTCCGGTTTTCTTTTATCCTGGTGAGCACAGGTTCTGCCCTGGGGGGGAAGAAGGCAGAGAGATAGCTACTGCTGCAGAGATAGACCTGGAAAAAGTGGGAAAAGTTTCCAGAGTAATAATACTCTTCCTCACTCTTGAAAAGGGTAGGTAGAATGGAACCCTAGAACCATCATAAAAAAACAAGCTTAAAAATTCCCTTGGGAGCAAGGGGAAGGAATTTTACAGAATTTTGAGTTGGATGGGTGTCAGAGGTCATTTAGGCCAAGACCCAGCCTAAGCATCAACCTCCTCTACTGTCATTTGGACAAATACTCATTTAAGATTTGCTTGAAGATCCCTCATCCCCAAAGCAACTCATTTTACTTTAGGATAACTCTAATTGTTAGGGAATTTATCCTCATATGGAACTAAAATTTACTTTTTTGTATTATTACATTAATTATTACGGTTTGGGCCCAATATCCAGCCAGTTCCAAATCTACCTCTCTATAACATCTAGCCCACATTTTTCCAACTTCCCATGTGTATGGTATGAAAGACTTTGTCAAATACTTTATGAATGTTCATATTTGTCATATGTATGGCATTGCCCTGATCTATCAGTCTAGTAATTTCTTTTTTTTTTAATCTAAAAAAAAATTTTTTTTAAAGCAATTGGGGTTAAGTGACTTGCCCAGGGTCACACAGCTAGTAAGTGTCAAGTGTTGGTCTGAGGCCGTATTTGAACTCAGGTCCTCCATGACTTCAGGGCTGGTGCTCTATCCACTGCGCCACCTAGCTGCCCCAGTCTAGTAGCTTCTTCAAAAGAAGGTTATGCCAGGTTAGCCTGCCATAACCAGTTCTTGATGAAACCATGTTGCTGGTTAGTGACCACTGCTTTCCTTTCTATATGTTTAAAATCATCCCTTTAATAGGGAACAAAGTCAACTTCACTGGCCTAGATCCCGTAGATTCTAAATTATTCTCTTTCTTAAAAATTAGAATAATATCTCCATTTCCACTCATGTTTTAATGTATTTTAAAATGTATTTTAATGATCCATGAAAAGAACACAAAAATTCATTTTTAATAATTATATGAAAGTTCCCTTCACCCTGGCAGGTTCCCTAAAGCAAGGCCAAAGGCCAGGGTGTTAGAATAATTCAGAATTCTTACTTCATGCTGACCAAAGCCAACCAATCCAGGGGTAATTCTCTTTTTTTACCTTCTTCCAAATAAAATAAGAGTAATTATTGTTCTCACGAAGAGGAAAAAGAAAACTTTAGCTTTTATGGGAATGACCAAATTTTAGCTTTGGTGTTGTGTAAAGTCACAGTACGTTATTGAGGGAGGTTTGTTGTTCAGTTGTTTTTAGTCACGTCTTACTCTTTGTGACCCTATTTGGGGTTTTCTTGGCAGAGATACTGGGGTGGTTTGCCATTTCCTCCTCCAGCTCATTTTACAGAGGAGGAAACTGAGGCAAACAGGATTAAGTGACTTGCCCAGGGTCACACAGCTAGTAAGTGTCTAAGGCCAGATTTGAACTCAGAAAGATGAGTCTTCCTGACTCCAGGCCCCATACTCTATCCACTGTGCCATCTAGCTGCTCCACTGAGGGAAGAGAAATACTTAAATCAAGTGTGACTGTGTCTTGTCATCCTGGTGGAAGACACTGGGACCCAGAGAAATTTCTTTTTGTCAATTGTCACTGTGTGATATTCATTCAAATATTAGAGCTAGAAAGGAAGACAGAAGTCATCTATTCCTACCCATACCTGCTTATGAATCTCCTCTGTTACCTCCTTAGCAACAAATCATCCAAATTTCTCATTGAATACCTTCAGTGATAGAAAAATGCTACCTTCTAAGGCAATCCATTCTATTTTTGAAGAGCTCTCATTGTTAAGAAGTTCCTCCTTAGAAATCCAATCTGACAACAACTATATTTTTCTAAAAATGCTCCAATTCACTAATGATTAGAGAAATGCAAATTAAAGCAACTCTAAGGTTCCACTTCACACTCATGAGATTGGAAAAGATGACAAAAAATGTAAATGGAAAATGCTGGAGAGACTGAGGGAAAGCAGGCACACTAATGGGTGCAGTGGTTGACTCAACCATTCTGCAAAGCAATTTGGAACCATACTCCAAAAGTTATGAAACCATGCATACTTTTGGACCCAGCAATACCAAGAAATTCCTCCTTATACTGAACCAAAGTATGCTTCCTAGAGTTCATAGGATTATAGAGCTATAGGTTTAGAGCTGGAAGGAAAATCATAAATCTTATAGTCTGTCATTTTACACATATAAAAACTGAAGCAGAGAGAGAGAGGAAAGAAATGACTTGGCCAAAATAACACATATGCTAAGTGACAGAGTTGAGATTCAAATCCGGGACCTCTGTCTCCATATCCAGTTGATTTTCATCATATCACAGTACCACTCCCACTCAGTCCTTGTTCTTCTTTATTTTGGATCTAAACAAAATATTTTAAGATAATAATCTGTCCTAACGATGTGTTTTCTTCTCTCTCTCTCTCTCTCTCTCTCCCTTTCTCTCCCTCTCCCTTTCTCTCCCTCTCTCTGTTTGTCTGTCTGTCTATCTCATTTGGTTTATCATCTCTGGCCCCTTCAACCCTCAAGACATAGGTTGGGGAGAGAAGTAAACAGCATCAAAGAGGAATAAGATTCAGGGGCTCATCAATGACAGCTTCAAGATACCTGTTGACTCATAATGATTAATGTATTTCTGGAGAGGGCCTCTGCACATTAGCATTAGATTTCCTGCATAATTGTTTATTCAAATAAATTTTAAATAATCCAATTCCCTCTCCTATCCCAACCATAAATTCAATGAAAATGGTTTGTAAATGGCTGGAAATGCCAAGCAGGGACTTAAATCATAAAAAACTGTTAGCTACGATCTAATTTTCCATGGGTCATGGGAAAACAAGCCCAAGTCTAGTCTGTAACAAAGAAGGGACCTATTCTGCTTGTTGTTTTTTCCTGTTTCTTGAGTGGTCTAACACAAAGAACCCTGAATGTGAAATCAGAAGAAGTGTGTTCAAGTTTAGGTTTCATTAAGTACTTAACTATGCGGTCTTGGATAAGTCATTCTTTCTTTCCAAGTCTCAGTTTACTCATTCACAAAATGGGGATAATTTTCACTACCCACTTCATAGGTGTGTTGAAGAATTAACTTCATAAGTGAAGTCCCTGCTTGACATTTCCAGGAAGCAGCTGGTGGTACGGTGGATAGAAGTCAGGAAGACTTGAGTTGAAATCCAGCCTTAGACACTTCCTAACTGTGTGACCCTGGAGTAAGTCACTTAATCTCTGTCTGTTTCAGTCTATAAAATGAAAATACTAGTAATACTTATCTCCCAAGATTATTGTGGTATTTGTTACAACAAGAAAGTGCTCAGTACAGTGTTTGACACATAGTAGATGCTACATAAGTGCCCTTATAATTGTGAACTGCTATATTTATAATAATGGTAATAACGGGGCAGCTAGGGGGCGCAGTTGATAGAGCACTGGCGCTAGAGTCAGGAGGACCCAAGTTCAAATCCAGCCTCAAGACACTTGACATTTACTAGCTGTGTGACCCTGGGCAAGTCACTTGACCCCAATTGCCTCGCCGAAAAAAAAAAAGAAGAAAGATTTTTTTTAAATGGTAATAATAGTTGATATTTATATGGCACTTTAAAGTTTATAAAATTATATATGTGTGCGTGTATGTATGTATGTATGTATATTTCTCTTAAACTTAACCACAGCCCTGTGAGGCAAGTACAATGGGCGTGATCATTTCAGTTTTATAGATGAGGAAACTGAAGCTCAGAGAGTAGAAATGACTTTGCCAAAAGTCACATGGTTAGTAAGTAGCTGTGGCAGAATTTGAACCCAGGTTTTCCTGATTCAAAATCTAGCATGCTATCAACATCATCATTATCCTAGGATTAAAGATTTGTAGATTTAGAGCTGAAAGGGCCCTTAGAAGCCACGTGCAGTCATCCAATGCCCTCGTTTTACAGTTGAGAAAACCAAGGTCTAGAAGTGAAGTTATTTGCCCATAGTCTTACACCATAGGTAGTAAGTTGCAGAAATGAGATTTGAACCTGGTGCCAGAATCCAGTCCTCCTTCCACTGTATTACTCTGCCTCCTATTAATATTAACTTTCCACTTGATGCAAGAAACCCCAAATTTAGGAGACCCAGTGTTTATTAGAAATGTTTTCTGCAAAGGCATAGCTCACAATCTGATGAAACCTAGGTGTTTTACCCATCCCAGCAAATGTTGTCCTTTCTCTGCCAACAGAGGATCTCTACACAACCAGGCATTCACACTGTCCATGAGCAATCGTACCATCACTACTTAACTACTTTACTGGCTAAGCAAAGGGACCATCTCCAGCTCGTGCTCCCCAAAATGGGAGGAAAGGGTTGGGGCAGATCAGAATTCAAGCCAATGGTGCCTCCAAGACCCTTTCGCAGAAAGCCCCAGAGAGGTGATAGAAGTCTCGGCACCTACCAGCCAACGTTGAACTCCACATGGGCATCAAAGAGAGCAACCACTGGAGCTGTGGCTGCTCGCCAGCCACTTACACGGGAACGGATCAGCCCTTCTTGTTTGCTATGGCGGACGACCTTAATGAAGCCAGGCTTGTGAGCATTCACCTTGTCCACGTAGTCTTTCAGCTTCTCCTTGAGTTCTTCTGTTGCAAAGGAAACAAATGGGATGTCAGAAAGAGGAAGTGGTAAAGGGGAAGAGTCCCCCCAATTCTCCAATTGAACACAAAAGATCCCTGAGAGTAGGATAAGCACAGGAAACATGAAGCAAACACTTCAGCCATGATCATGTATATGATCCTATACATTTCATAGATGAGAACTAAACTGATAAATAAGTAACTAGTGGTGGGTATCCCTGGGTAATTGCCCCAAAGAGGCCAATTGGCTGGAAGAATTTATCCCCTTTTGTTTGCCTCTCACACTGCAATCCTCGGATGATTTTTTTTTTACTAGACTAAATATTTTTTTATTTTTACTTTTTGTTACATTTAAGAATCCACCAAAATTTGTATTAGGCATTTTCACTCAATATTGTCACTTTTGTGATTAGAATTTAAGCCGAATGTTTGTAAACATCTTTAAGTTGTGCCTGATTTGTAGTCCTGATAGGAATGAAAAGGGGAAAGGATGATCCTGGATATTATCAACTTTTTAACTTAACTTGTCTGCTTGGAAAATAATGAAGTAAGTCAAAATTCTTATACTTAACTTTCGTAGTTCTGTAGTATGCTTTTGGAACTTTTTTAAAATTAATTTATTTTGATTTATCAATAATCACTTCCATATGCTTTTGAGTTCAAAATTTTTCTCCCCCTTCCTCCCCACCACCCTCCCCAAGATGGCACCCAATCTGATATAGGCTATACATTTACATTCATATTAAACATATTTTCACATTAGTGATGTTGTAAGTAGAAATTAAAACCAATAGGAGGAACCATCAGAAAGAGGAAACAAAACTCAACAGAAGAGAAAAAAATAACAATTCGGCTTCCATAGTTCTTTCTTTGGGTGTGGATAGCATTTTCCATCACAAGGCCTCTGGAGATGTCTTAGATCCTTGTATTGCCAGGAAGGGTCAAGTTCATCAATATTAGTCATCACACAATGTGGCTTTTATTGTGTACAACGTTCTCTTGGTTCTGCTCACTTCACTCAGCATCAGACCACACAAGTCTTTCCAGGTTTTTCTGAAGTCAGCCTGTTTGATGATTTTTTTAAAAATCTAAATTGCTTTAATGAAGACCCACTCTGATAAACTATCAAAAATAGGATCTCATTTTGGGCCCAATCAAAGAGACAAGTGAGGGAAACCTGAGGCCAAAGTCTTAAGAAGTATGTGAGTGGTATCATAAGGCACTCCTCCTTTTTTAGGAGGTGGTGGTGGTAGAGTCCCTGCTCAGGTGCTTCTGACTACAGCAACCTATCCAGCCTCATGTTGTGCTTCATTACATGAAAAAAGGATTTTGTGTTCACACCCCATCACATATGTAGGGAAGGATGAGGGAAAGCAGGTGAACATCCAAATAAAGAGAGAAAAATAATTTATTAAGCACTATGTGCTAGACATTGTGCTCATCTCTGGGAATACAAACAAGACAGGAGCAGTGCATAAAGGAAAGCTGGAAAGTGGGTGTGAGAGGAGGAATATATGAACAACTGGGACCGTCAGTTTCTCATGATTTATCATGGGTTGGCTTGATTATGAAGAATGGGAAAATTCATCCTAGCACCCTAGAACTTGACATAAATGGTTATTATTATTGTACCAACATAGCCAAATGCTTTCACCCATATAGATAGTGACCACAAGAATAGTACCAGACTTATTTTATCATTCATTCATTCATACGTTGATTTAACCAACCAACCAACAATCAAACATTGACTAAGTGCCTACTCTGTGTAGAGTACTTTTCTAGATACTGATACACACACACACACACACACACACATATATGTCTTCTTGTGTCTTACAGTCTAGAAGTGGGATAAGGCCCAGCACAATGCACATTGTTACATGAAAAGTCCAATGGAAGTGCATAAGAAACTGTTAATGAGAGGTCTTAAAAAGGAAAATTGGTAATATTTTATCACTTCAAAGGTTTTTTATTTGCATAACTGCTTTTTGGTGGGTTTGAAGGGCAAGGCCCACAACAGATGCGGACAAAGATTAAGAGAGAAAAAGGTTGTCTCTGTAAGAAATGGTCCCAAGGCATGGACTGACCCACCCAGAAAGTGGTTAGGGATGATGAGTCCATATAGCCAGGGTCTTTGGGCTAGTTATCTCTGTTGACATGGAATAGAGTAGGATGCTTACCAAACATATGCTTAAGGTTCAATCCCCACATGGTCTACTTAATTCCACAGGGTACCACAGTCTGATTTTCAACCATAGACTGAATCTCTGACTCCAGCCAGTTTCTTCTCAAATATAACATAAGATTACCTAGACACAAGAGTATAGGTAGACCAGACCAAACCCTCCCCCATTCCTAGAAAACAAAACAGCTCCCAACATCTGTCCGATAGATAGTGGGTAAAAATCACTACCCAACCAAAAGGAAGTTGGGGTGGAGACTTTAATTTGGGAGGGTGGCTTTGCTAGATCTCAATTTAATGTCTTCACTGCTAGTAGTGTCTATATTGCTAAAGAAATGTCAGAATCAGGGCATATTAGAGGTAAAAGGACCTCAGAGAAGATCCAGCCCAACCTCCACTTAAGGCATTGGTCTACAATGTCTTTTGTTACAACATCCTTTAATTGAAAGACATTAGATAGTTGAATTAAAATACATATCTTTGTTGTTCAGTTGTTTTTCAGTAGTGTCTGACTCTTCATGATCTTTTCTGTGGTTTTCTTGGCAAAGATACTGGAGGGATTTGCCATTTCTTTCTCCAGCTCATTTTACATATGAGGAACTGGGGCAAACAGGGTTTAGTGACTTGCCCAGGGTCACACAGCTAGTAAGTGTCTAAAGTCACCTTTCAACTCATGAAGATGAGTCTTCCTGACTCCAGGCCCAGCACTCTATCCATGATACTACCTAGCTTCCCAAAAAAGAAATACATAGCTACTGCATTAATTAAAATATGTATCCACTTTATGAAAGGCAGCAGTCTGTGTGTCTTAGTTCACTGAATGCTAGACTTAAAGTCAGGGAGATCTTGGTTCATATCTCACTTCTGTCACTTACTAGTTTTGTGTTCTTGAGCAAATCACTTAACTCCTCTGTGCCTTGGGTAATTCTCTAGGACTTATCTACAAAGCGTGATGGTGAAGAGAGTTTTCAAGCTGGGAGACCCTCATGCTGATGAACTCAGAAATCCTGCATATAGTCATACATTCATAAGGCATTGGAGAAATGAAATTTAAAAAACAGTTCCTGCCTTTAAGGCACTCAGGTTCTGTTGAGTAATCTAAGGAGTAGACCAAGGGGGATACACCATATCCACAGTTAAATGTGATACATAGCAGAGAATGATGGTGGCAAAGGAGAATCCTAAACGATATGCTATAGGAATACTTTAGGAAAGAAAACGTTCAGTCAGCTGAGATGACCAGGGAGAACTATATCGAGGAAGTGACACCAGAACTGAATCTTGAAGAAAGAGATGAATTATAAAAGGTGGAATTGAAGAGGGTCATTGGAGATGGCCTTGGCAAATGTCTGGTGGGGGGGATGGCATGTTGAGTGAAGAGAATGTCTACTCATCCAGTCAGATTGGAATGTAGAGTACAGCCACCACCTGGGCACCTCCACCAAGGTGAACTCACTCTCTTGTGGTCATTCCCTTTCATCTAGAAAACACTTCGGTATGATATAAAGAGCACTACCATTGGAATCAGAGGATCTCAGTTCAAATCTCACCTCTTATATCATCTGTGTGACCTTGGGCATATCAGTTAATCTCCACATCAGTTTCCTCTTCTGCAAAATGAAGGGGTTGGCCTCTAAGGTCCTTTGCATTTAATCCTGTGCTTTTTTGACAGCTGATTGTTTCCAAGATGTCCTTTATTCTGAACCCAAATGTGCCTGCTGGTAACTTTTACCTATTGCTTCACATTCTGCATTACAGGAGTCATTCGGCTTGGCTGCTTCTAAAGTCCCATTATATTAGGCAGAAATCTCTGCCTTGCTGACTGTTTCAAGCAATTTCAAGGCATCTGATTTCCTGACTCAAATGAAGAGAGGCTGATAAAATCCTGTTTGTCTCTCAGGAGACCACACACCATACTCTTCCCAAACCACAGTCCATCAGAACAGCCTGGGCAGTCACCTCCAAATCACACATCTTTCAGAGGAAGCCTCTAAAGGCACAGACATTAGTCTTCCTCCAGCATAACTGTGAGTCCTACCAACTCCAAAAAGGCATGCCTCACTATGATGTCATGGTAGAAGTGGGGCCTGCAAACATGGCACAGGCAGGAGGGGGCCTGGAATATATTTGCTTATCTCCAGAATTGGCATCTCCGACTTCGTTCACAAAGGAAATGATCCGCAAATAGATGCCCAGTGGAGTCTTTGCTATTTCAAAAGCAGCTGTGCTGCTATATTTGCAAAACTGCCTGTCCCAGCCAGACCTGCTAGAGGGAACTGATTGAGGCTACTTATGCTTTTCTTCACACTCATGTGCTAGTAACTGGTCACCATTAAACTGGAAGGAAGTAATCTCAGCTAAAATACAAGGATATATGGATAGGATCAGCCACGGCAAAGGGAATTGGTGCACCTTAACAAAAGAGAGAGATTTTTAAGGAAAAGACAGAAAACTTCACCAACCTGTAACATGTCTGTAGCACTCAAGCCGACAAAATGACATGGTTAACAGGCTATGGAAAGTGGCACGGTTTGTGAAGCACCCCTGGGAAATTACTCAGAAAATTAAGCCGCAGTGAGGCAGGTGTTGAGATGATAGAGTTGAATGAATTCAAGTCTGAAGTCCTAAGTTCTATTACATCTCTTCTTCTCTTAATTAATGAATATAGTCAGCACTCCCCCCTGTAGTGGCTACCCCTCCCCCCTCAAAAAAATCCTTTGACAATAGATTCATGAAAAGCAAAGGGAGGAAGTGAGGAAATGAAGAATAAATCAAGAAACAGTTTTGATATTTTTGAGATAACTTATTTCAAATTACCTTA